TCTTCCGATGCGCAGATTTAGGTGATATCTTGGTAGGCGTGGCTGGCGTGGGGAAGGGTGGATTGTCTTTTTTGATGTGAATGAGGAGATAAATTTGTAACCTTTCTCTCTCTCTCTCTCTCTCTCTCTCTCTCTCTCTCTCTCTCTCTCTCTCTCTCTACTTCTCTCTCTCTCTCTCTCTCTCTCGCTATCTATCCATCCATCTCTTTCCCCTCTCCCTTTTCTCCCTCCCTCCCTCCGTATCCATGCATGGGAATTTAGGCTCCCGTATTGTTTTCGCGTCATGCAAATCCCGTCCGACCTGCATCCCCGAGGCCCCCCAGGGAGTGCGGCGGCGAGGGAATCTCCCAGGATGCATTAAGGGAGAGACGAGATAACCTGAATATTTCACGCGGGGGGGAGGAGGGAGGGGGAGGAGGGAGGAGGGAGGAGGCAGTCATTCGGAACTTTCGTGGTCTTAAGAGTCGACGTTTCAGTGTGGGGCGTTTGTATTTATTTTTAGTATTATTGTTTTTGTTATTATTGTTGGTGTTATTATTATTATTGTTTTATTATTGTTATTATTATTATTATTATATTATTATTATTATATAATTGTTATCATTATTGTATTATTATTATTATTATTATTATTATTATTATTATTATTATTATTATTATTATTATCATTGTTATCATTATTTTTATTATTATTATTATCATTATCATTGTTATCATCATCATCACCATCAACAATATTGTTAACATCATTATGCTTGCGGACGGAGGGCGTTTCCCGTGAAACTCTAAAACTCTACGGTAACCACCACCCACATTTCACTACCAAGTCGAGACAGAGGAAACGCGTCATTCATTGATTTATCGTCTGTATGGTTGAACAGTTATCTTTCCTCGTGTACAAGATAACAGAAAAGGAAGTGGCTACGAGTACGGCAGAAAAGACCCCGATTGGTGTCCTGCGCATGAGTGGTGAGCAAGTAAGATGTCTCGACACGGGAAGGCGTTACCACTCTCAGTTAGGTTATCTTCGTACTTATTACCCGGAAATAACGTATATATGAGCACGTGCATATGTGTGCCGTACGCCTAACCGCGCGAAATGCGATACGGCTGCCGTACGCGTAACACCGGACTTAAAACAACATAACAAAACAACCAAAAAGCTCCATTCGATACGTTTTTGCAGTGTCGATCATGACAGGCCAGATAACGCAACGGAAATTCCTTTACGCGCTCTAACGAATATTTACAAGTTGTGGGAATTATTTCCAAAATGAATTCGAACTTTTGTTGTCAGGCTTGTGATTCGAGTCCGGTACGATGTATAGAAGTGTATAGAAATAATGGAGATGGAGATGATTATGATGATAATGATGAATAGCATGTGAGTGATCTAATTTGATAGAAATGAATTATAATAGCAGCTGGGAAAATTATTAGGATGGAAATTATAATTGTGTTAACTAGAAAAGGTTATTCATTTTCTTGTCCCTTCTCTTCTTGCCCCCCTCTCCCTCTTTCTTTCTTTCTTTCATTCTTTCATTCTCTCTCTCTCTCTCTCTCTCTCTCTCTCTCTCTCTCTCTCTCTCTCTCTCTCTCTCTCTCTCTCTCTCTCTCTCTCTCTCTCTCTCTCTCTCTCTCTCTCTCTCTCTCTCCTCTCTCTCTCTCTCTCTCTCTCGGGGTTTTAGAAACCCTGAGGAGGAGCGCAGTGAGTGACGAGAACTTCGTGGCCCGGGGATCCTCGAGGGAGGCGAGCGAGCGAGAGGATTTGAGAGCCTTTGTTTCAACGTCAACGGCTTGGATGTGGATTTGCACGGGATTGCGAGCAAAGATTTAGGCCCACGGTTGGTGAAGCTGGCGTGGAGGCTGTGCAGCGGTGTGGAGGTTCGTTGCTCTGCTATGACGGGGAATATGGCCGCCCACATTACCTGAAACTTATGCGACCAAGTGGCGTTTGTGTTCCCGGGAGTTGGGGCTGGGCGGGACTTATCATTTAGGCCTCCTGGGGACATGAAGAGGATTCCGCTCCTGCTTTTCATTCCCGAGGTTCGTTCTCTGCGATTCCGGGGAGTGCTGGCGAAGTTATGGCCGCGATAAATTCCTTTTATGGCAGTAGAGGAACACGTTCGCTTCAGAAGGTGTGGGCTCTGCAGCTGATGAAAAAGCTTTTGTGGTTTGTTGCCGTTGTCTTGCCGGTTGGAAAGGTTGTTTTCGTTGTTGTCATTTTCCATAACTTCCTGTCGATATTTTCCTTCCTCATCACAAAAGTCGCTTCTCGTTTCTTGTTTCCTTATGAGCTTCGGGTGTGCGCCGCCGCGTGGACCCATTGCGGGGCCTTCCTTCCTCCTCCAGCTTCCGTCTGTTTTCCCTTCGTCACGATTCGGGGAATATCCGCGATTCAGGAGAGAGAGAGAGAGACAGGACAGGAAGATGAATAGATAGAGACTGAGGAACACAGAAGTAGACAGAGGAAAACCGAAAGGCAGACAGACACAAACGG